CTACAAAAGTGTTATCAGGATTATCATAACGTCAATTGAACGGCTAGCTTTTTTTGCTCTTTCTTTTCTATATGACAGCGTTAGTGCAATAACGTTTGTATAAGGTATATCAAACCTGACTCATGAGGACAAAAGTCACGTGACACGCCGTCATGAAAATTAGTCCTCTGGTCATGAACTTCATATTGGCAGTTTCAATTAAAACCGTTGTAAATTCTTTTTCTGTAAAAAGAAAATGAGAAGAACAGAATAGTTTGTTCAAAAAATGAACAGGGCTATCCACGGCCTACGTGTAGGCGGCCATGATCGCGGGGTAGCCATGATCGCAGTGGGCAACCCAATTACCGACTCGTAATCCACCGGATAAATCTTAATCTCACGACTAGCTGGCTTTTTCGTCCCTGTAAAACTTGATTTAGATCTCTTGCCAGATGAAAAAGAAACCCTCAGAACTAATTTATTAGTTCTTTGGTTTTACTCAACAAATTTATTATTACTGTTATTATTGCTATTACTGTTATTCGGGATTCTAATTAAAGTTTCTTTCAAATGAGGTTTTTTTGAGGTCAGTGCTTTAGCATGATAAATTTTCAGCCTTACAAACAGTTTCTAGTAAAGCCTCTAAAAGACAGATTTTCTTTTCGTGGGGTTTCAGTTTGTTACCTTGCTACGCTTGCTAAAAATTCCCTCTCTCGCACCACCTCAAGGGCACTCAAGGGAGTTTGAGGAGGCCAAAAAAAACCAGAAAAAAACAAAAAACAAAAACAAGACGTTTATTTGAATTGGGTCAGAAATCCAGATTTGTAGAACAAGTGTTGGGCTAGCCTGAGAGTTTTTTTTTTGTTCTTATAATAACAATTCTAACGACATCTTGATTTTGATTTTGAAAATGGTAAGGGTTACGGTTAGGTAAACATGATTTTTAGCTGTAGTTGATGAGCATGAAATTTAAAATTTAAAATGGTAATAGTCGGCTACGTGCTTTTATCGAGCCAACTTAACTTAGCAATCTTTATACCCATATAAACGTAATATAAACGTCCATTTTTTATAGTGTATGATTACTATAATGTAAATGCGATATTTAAACTTAAAAAAAAAGGGTTGAAGTAATAAGTATACTAACCTTCCCTTGTGGAGAACTTCTTTAAGAACGTCCTGACAAAAATTGATATCTCCCAAGCACTCTTTCCTCTTTTTGAGCAGTATCCGAGTTACTAATATCGCTGGATAAGTATGTTTAATGGGCGAAAATAGACATTTCAACTCGTATTTGCTTTTTTTGCAACAACAAATCACCCACTATACCAATAGTTCTTTTGGCATCATTTCTGCCATTTAGATTCAGTTATCTTGAAACAGAGCGGTACTATAAGCTTTAATTAATTAAAATAAGTGAAACATTCATTATAGTTGAATTAGTCTGAGTTGACTGTTGCGCTGAAATGGCAACAAATTAGTATTTGTTTCAGATCTTAATTAAAATCTGCTTTAAAGAGCAACAAAGGGATTGTCATTTTCAAAGCAAAAACGTGTCACTCACTGTAACAAATCGATTTTAAATTAACGCTGACTTTGTCAGTGAAAAGTCAACACAGCTATACAAGGAAGACGATCTTAAAGACGTAAAATAATTGTCGCAAGAACAGCAGTCGGACAAACAACTCCCTTTCATGCTCAAATGTTTCAAGCGTACGTAGTTCATATTAACATAATGTTTTTGACACAGCCGTAGAAACTGTTACAAATCGCACATTAAAACAGTGAAAAGAGAATTTACGAAATACTGAGAATATCCATAGAAAATCTGCACTTTCGTCTTTTGGTCTAGTAGTATCGCCTATTATTTATTCGTCCATCGCGTAAGAGGGTTTACAAAAACAGAAAAGCGGGGAAATAAATTGGAACCTCGATAAAAAGAAGCTTCGTTTTGCGAACAGGTCTTGCTTGTCCCTTGCCCCTTAGTCATAATTTATCAAGGTCCCACTGTATTGATCACGAACAATCAAAATAACATATTTTATTATGACTTCCAATATTTCTTAGTTGAATAAAGAAATTTATGCGTGACACGTGGTGGAAATATTCTTTGGCTTAAATAGATATGTATGTCTTTTGTGTTAGTAAGCGTTTCCAAACCAAACGATACAAATGTTGTAAAAGAGCAACGCGCGTTATCAGCTTTGCAGTAGTCTTAGGACTTCTCTTTTTTTGTTTTTAATATTTTAGCTGCTTAGATCTCTTTTCTTGAGATCTAACGCTGAAATCCAGCAGGACCTTTCGTCCACGGATTTTGCAATTTATTTCTTTATCATTTTAGCATTTTAGTCAGCCTAGTCAGATTTTTTATTGCTTTTATCATCTGTCTTTTTTTTCGGTCATTCGTTTAAAGGCGTCGTGGAACTGATTTTAATCAGTTTTAAAACAGGGATTAAAATCTCTGTCTTAATAATAAATGAAAAAGACAAAGGTTGTCATAATGTTAATTAGCCTTAAATTAGTTTTAGTTTGTGAGGATATTTGTAATTTCGTTTTTGTCTGAGTAAGCAGCGGATGTTGTTTAATCACTAAGAACTGAGGAGAGACAATATTTATTCATCTGGATAATTATTAATCTACGGAGTCTGAGAAATTATCCTATTCTTCTTGACTGAACAAGATGTGCTCGTCACTACTCTGTCAGTTTTGTATCTTCAAGGATTAATAAAAAGTCATTTATATTGTACGGCTATAATAAAAATTGTGAAACAGTTAAGTCAAACAAACAAATTTTCGGGACCATTGACCTAAACTGTGGTTATTCAGCGTCGCTCCGTTATTGCGTCCGAAGTGGATCGGAAAATGTCTGCCTACCCCACCCCTAACCCGAAATTTTTCTTTCGATAAAATGTTTGGTCAGGGGTGGGGAAGGTGGTAAGAACCGGGATGGTACCCTTTTAAGGCTCGACGTGTGTCCAAAAGAGTAGCTAAAAAGTCGACAAAACGTTTACATAAAACTGCCATTAATAAGCTTTTCTAAAAAAGACCTTCAAACTATATCTTAAGACAAGAGAAGATAAAGGGGACAGAGAAGGCATTCCCCATACACACCCTATTCCATAGGTAATTCGTCTCGAGTTATTTTTAGAATCGGGATAAAGTTACCTCGCGCGCTGCGTGGATGTTTCGTGGAGGTTTCGCATGACCAAACGCCGTGCAAAACATGTCGGGCGAAAGGCAATGAAAGCGTAAAGAGATCGAGAGCATTCCTGAATATTGAAGCGAAATGAGTCGGCGCTTACTGGGAAAAGGGAATCGCTGGACTCTTTGACAACCCGTGAAATCAGTTTAACTCGAAGTTGTCGTAACCTCAGTGCTTTGATAAAATGAGAAATTTCGCCGGTCTATTGAAACCGGTCGTTTGTACAATAAAGCAAGTAGGACGCCAAATGTTATTTTTGTTGAATAATAAAAGACTAATAAAAGGATAAATATCAAACCAGAAATTGCTCTCTTCAAAAAGTAAATTATAAATAATCCTGAGAGAATATTCAGTGTTAAGGATTTCCCTGCTGTACTGATTTATATTCTTGAGTGGTTTCTCAAAAGTAGACTAAGTACATGTAAGTATGATCGTCCTGGTAAGTGTAGTCCACGATAAAATTATTGGTGATAGTGACTGATGAAGACATCATCAGAGTAAACGATTGCTTTCTTTTTTAAGATTCATTAAATAAAGGCGCACGCGCATGCGCGTCGGGCACTAGCCATACCACGAATGTAACCATTGAATTCAGATAGTTTATTTGGCGTACAGGTGCCGTAGGATACCCAGTAAACCAGAGCTTATCCCAATTTGAAGGAACGAACTTAAGCACTTACGACTATGACTACTCAGCCACCTAAATGGAATGCTAGTCGACATCCAAGTTTAGGGAGTTTAAGATACCACGACGGCGAAGGCTGCAAAGGATGATCGCGATTTTCGATCTCTATCGCGATTACTCCAACTCGCCTTCTTTGTCAAATGCACACGAACTCCTCGGGAGTCTTAGAACGATTTTCAAGTTCCAAAAGTGAACGGAAATTTCGTCGTCGCTTGTTCAAGTCATCCGAAACACGTGAAACTAGGCATCTTTACGTTGAAGTGGTACAGTACTCGGAGACCTTCCTAGCAGCTCCTACACTGCGCAGCTAAAAGTGTGCTACACATGCAGAGTTGTTGTTTGGTCTGAACCTATAATTTTTTGTTGGCTTCACACTAGGGACCAAAGTGCACTTGAAGTGCACCTGAAGTCAAGTAGACTTGAGCTATACTGTGGAAAGAAGATCCAATAGATTTTCAGGCATGACTGCGCGCAGCTAAAACATGAAAAGTGGTTTTTGCATGGAAAGTCATAAGGTTTCTAAATTGGTGTTTCAAATACTTTTTCATCCGTTTTTATTATTTTCTCTGGGGATTATATTTTTAGGTTCCCTACAGAAATACGATAAATCCTTCATTCTACTTCATCCTTCTACATTCTACTGTTAAGTCCTCATTTTCGCGTGCAGTTAATTCTTCGCCGCGGAATTTGATTCTCCTGAATACTAGTGTGCACAACTGTTGTGACACGCAGTAAAGAAATATGGTAATTTTTATTTTGTTTGCATGTTTAGAAGCAAATTACTTGCGAGCACAAGTTGGCGTGCAGTTGATTAGCTGCCTCAGAATTAGATCACAACCTTTTTCTCAACTTAGAATTTTCTACCGCAAGTCTGCTTGAAATACGCCATCAAAATACAACTGTTAAATTAAAACTATGAAAAAAAAAATTAAAACTATGGAGTCTTTTTGAAGTCGCAAGTGACAGCAGAATGCAGATTGGAGAGCTCATTCCCTGTGGAATTTACAGTTTGCGCCCACCTATTTTCAACCGCAAGGCTGTCCTGTCATTGGTCTAGTGCGCCCCCAAGTAAGGGGTAGAACTTACTTACAACTCACTTGAGTTCTTTTTGTTTTTCGCTTACCACCAGGGCAACAAAGAATCCAAAGAGTGTGGTCATTAAAATTTTCACACTCTAAGTACGCGAGCTACATAGGGTGCTTCCGCACAAACCCATAGCGCGTGCCATTCAAAAAGACGTTTTGGACAAAAGAAGTGGTAAAATATGGCGCTTATAGAAAACGATCTTCTGCAAATTATTTAATAGGCCACTTTCGAGTTCCAAAAACACTCACTTTCAAAATGAGGCTAGGTGCACAACCTTTCTTATGAAAATGAGTTTATTTGGAACCAAAGAAAAAATTTTATGTCTCTCCTTCCAATTTCTCTAATGTATGGATTTTTTGGGGGTGGGGTCGATTGCGGCTTCAAAGGCTTAGAGGCTCTCGAACGTGAACTTTGAATTATCTTACAATGGTTTACGATCGCATGAGAATCACAAGACGAAAAGTAAAATTACTTTTGGGTAATAATCACGAGCTCCTATGATAAGACCACTCGAAGTAAATTTACTTAGCCTCGATCTCATTATCTCGTGGAGACCCTTTATAACAGGGTGTAACCTTTTGTTAATCCTCTCGGTCTGAAAGCTGACATCAAGCCGAATCTTCGATAGCTGACCCGCTTATCCTTTGAACAAGCAATCGACCCGCCTCCGCCCCAATCTTCCACCTATTTTACTTGCTCTGGGTATTTCTTGTAGTTTAGTTGCCTTTTTCTTCTGGCCCTCACCTTTGCTAGATCTATAAACTCGTAAACAATATTTCATATTTTAACATTGATAAGATGATTTTGCAGTTTTGAATAAAACCGACCATTAACTGAGCCATGTTTTTAATCCCAGACCACAGTCTCGGGTTTTTTTGTTTCCTAAGTTAGGCGCTCTAGCAAACAAAGCTCGGCTGATGGCAGTAAAGGGGGTTTATTGTTAATGTTCTAGTAAACCGGGGAGGAGACATACATGAGTTTTATTTGCATGAGAATGAAAAATGATTTCCATATCAAAGGCTGAGCACCTACCCTCGCTTTGAAACAGAGGCCCGTAGGAACTCGGAAAAGGCCTATTACACTCAGCTTACATTAATTTGTTTACCGTCCTATTTGACACATTTTACAAAGAGATTTTAACGTGTAAATAAATCAGATGAGTGCTTCAATACGTAATTTATATTCCCTCAGAAAGGAGTTCACACTAAAAGAACGCATCAAATGCACTTATATTAAGAGCCCTGCTAGTGTGAATTCGCCTATATTGCTTTTTTGGCGTTCTCGTTGCCGTCGTCGCCGTGGCCAGGTAGCATCTTAAACTCCATGTTTATTATAGCCAGTGTACGTCGGTGAGTCGACAGTGACCTATTAGAGAAACAACCTTGCGGAAATTTATATAACTCTGTGAAGAGAGACAGGGTAAAGCAAGTGGACGACAACATGGTAGAGTACAAAGACTCGTCGCGTCGAACTCGATAATAGGGACTTTAAGATCCAGGACGCGACGGCTATAAGACGCCACCGGAAGTAAAATATTCAGGCGGGGTACATAGTACGCATGCCCAAGGCGTCCTATCAGTGGCGCCAAGTCGCGTCGAGAACGTCATTTGGGAAACTTCGGCGTTGTGTACAGAACGTGAGTATAAAGACCCTTTTTTTGTCCATGAAAGTAATACTTTGTCTCCCTTAAACCTCTCAGGCCCTCAGTACAGTTACTTAAAATCTTGGTCCTAGATTGCAGTCAATTTGGAATGCAAAGATGCGACAGATAAGGCATTTTTCATAGTATATTCACAGGTGAACAGCTAGTTGAAGACTTCAAGTCCTGAATCGAAGCATGGCATCCAAGCCTAAACCTCTCAGGTAAACGTGAGCTTTAATCATGGCTATTTGAGTCGGTTGAACAAATCCTCGTATTTTCAACATTTGTTGGTTTGGGAAAGGATATAGGAATATTTCGCGGACACTAAGCATGATTTCATTTAGTCGAAGCATTAAATGTAGGCTTAAGCTTATACTCCTGTTATTTTATTTTTAGCTCGGTGATGTTTTGGTCAAACGAGAATGACGTGTTCTTGTGCCGAGAAATGGTAAATTTAAACCCTTTTACGTTCAAAAAAGGATCCACTCAAAGAAGAGAGATTTGGGAGAAAATAGCTCAAATTTTAAACGAATGTACCGTACTGAGATTCAGCGTTGATAAGAGATCGGTTCGCGACCACATGGGGATTCTCCTCAACAAGCATAAAAGAAAAGTCAGAGCCGAGGAGAAGGCATCCGGTATAGCGCCCGACGAGCCAAGCGAACTGGAAAACCTTTTGGACACTATCATCGCTTTAGAAGAAAGTTCAGAGGCAGAATCACAGGAATTAAGAGCAGAGAGAAATGAAAATGTGAAAACGACCGAGCAAAGGCAGAAGATGCGAGATTAAAGGCCATGGAAAAGCTTTCGGAGACTAGGAAAAGATCAAGTGAGAGCGAAGAGGAGAAACCCAAACGACAGCGTAGAGGTGAAAGTGAAGCTATGGAATTTTTAGCAGATAGGGCTAAGATGAATTATGAACTGAAACAACAAGAGTTTAAAATGTTGCAAGAACAGCAATTGGAAAGAGAAAAAATGGAAGCAATGGCCAAACAGCAGCTACAAACACAACAGCAACAAACAGAAATATTTAAAGTAATGCAACAGCAACAACAACAAAACCAACAACAGCTGATTAACACTCAAATGATGATGATACAACAACAACAAGAACAGTCAAGGGCAATGATGGCTCTATTAGAGAAATTAGCCCATAAGTGATCTATTTTGCTGCACATTTTGGAGTGGCTTGTGGATGAAAATATTTTAAAAAATACACTGCTTGATTTGCAGGCCCACAAGATACAGATGACATCAAACCACCTGTTGCATTTGTATTGTTTGTTTTTTTTTTGCTGGAAAAGTTGTATATGTACACAATTGTTGCCAGTTTTTTAAGTGACAAAGAATGTTTTGTTTTATTACTTGAGGGATTTTCCTTCTACCTCTGTTCTCTGTACAAATAAGAGGCCTTGGTTTCAGGCCGTCAGTTGTGTTTTTACATGTCAAACCAATCCCCAAAGTTAATTAAATATTAATTTAAAGGTACTGATTTGTGTGCACAAAATTATATGAACAAAAACTATATTTGTTGCTTGGATATCTTAGTTAAAGCATATCTATCCCTATCACTGATTATTCTTGGTGAAGAAAACTTACAGGAAACTTTACTAACCCTAGCTAAGTAGCAAACAACATGTTCCAGTCCAAGAGTCTGGAACTCACAGGGAGGAAGGTTAATCAGATAAGGAAATTTTTACAAACAACTCTTTTAAAAAGGCATTTCTGTCACAGGAATTATCTATAAAAAACTTATTCTCATGAAAAGTCCACTGTGACAAAGTCGTGTTAATTAAAATAGTCATTTAATGAAGGTGGATCTAGTCCAAAAAAATCAGCTGTTGTGTTTGAATAGAGACAAGTTAAAGCATTCCTTAAAATAGAACATACTATGTACATTTTTCCTACTTGACTGAGTCCAATCTTCAAATTTTTTTTAAAGTCTAAAAATTTAAAGTAGTTTACAATATCTCCGAATAACCATTCAACTGATGAGCGAACAGCACTCATGGACTCATTAAACATCTGATATCTCTTGTTAGAATGCCAACTCTGAAAGATGCCTGCAAGTGAACCCTGAGTGGGTATGCTGGATCCCCATATAAACACATTGCTCTACCTACAGGGTCAAATGCAAAGTTTTGTAAATCATCATACAGTTGGGAGACTGCCAGCATTCTTGCATCGTGCATTCTGCCTTCTACAAGAAGGAAAGAAAACAAAAGTTCCACTCTTAAAACAAATTAAGGATGTATATGTCATCATTAATGTTCGCTAAAATCAAGTCATGCAGGCTTTACATTTAACTAGCACTTAGGGTATATGACGAGGAAACAAGAAATTGAATAGGCTATTATCAATTATTAAAAGAATTTCAACAAAAAATACGGCAAAATTAAGAGGCAAATACAATGAAACAAAAATTCCATAAACATGGCAATGAAGGGAAAAAAGGTTGCTTTGTGAAAAGAAAAAAAATCTGGGGCTCACCTACAGGACCATAGATATTAGCAATCAGTCCATTGGGAAGCGTGACGGCCTGGAACTTGAGCGCATGTACGCGCTTGTGGCCATTATAAACAACTCGCTGGTTTGACGTCGGCCGACTAATGGGCCGCACAGTTCCGTCTATAAAGCCGAAACAGTTATCAAGGGCTGCTCCTTTAGAGTGGACCCCATCTGCATACGTAGCCATTAAAGGTGGGTTTAAATTACCATGGTTCCACCGTGTAACCTTGTGGCCGTGAGAATTATATATCCAGTCTGTCCTGGTTGCAGATCATGCTCAGTTCTGGCACCGATCGCCCAAAGATTGGCATCATGTCGGAATAGCGGCATGGATATGCGAACCGCTTTAGGACAATACAGAGGCCTTCGGTTCCATCGCAGATAGTTCCGTTAGAGCACTTGAAGATGGGCGGAACTCTTAAGGCTTCAACAAATAATGCGATATCCCTTTATCGACGCGAAAATCAGCCTTGCATTCGGCAGAATTTTTGTTTTTGAGAGAAAATTTCTCGTATGCCGAGTGCTGAAATGGAAGATTTTGTGGAGCATACGCCTCGTAAAGCACTGAAAATTATTCGTCGTCTATAATTTCTTCCTCCAAGCAAGGTAGCAGTAATTCTTGAAGTTTTTGGAAGGAAGCCATTTCTTGTTTCTTCGTTAAAACCTTCGTACGGATTTACATTAATGACCCCATCGCGTCGCAAATCTTAACTTAAATTTTCTCGCGCTTACAACGCCGTCCTCGTTCCAGGCTTTTGCCCGGTCTCCGCGTCCTAAAAGCCGTCGCGTCCTGGATCTTAAAGTCCCTAATACTGAATACAGGAGTACACAGGAGCAATCTTTTAACAAAGATGACATGACTGTGACCTATTCAGAATAGCAATATTCAGTCGACACAGCTCGACACTTTAATCCAATAAATGTACTTGACTTTATTCAGTTGTATTTTACAGATTTAAGCACAATTTAAATTTTGATTAAGTTCATACTTCCATCCATTTAGTGCCTCAACTGCAGTGGAACTGTGCACGTCATTCTAAAAGAAAATGTGACAGAATATTTGAATATTTGTCACATCGCTGCAAACTTGAATTCCTCAAATGTGTGGTCAAAAACTTGAAAAAACCCTTTCTTTAGTAAAATTTGAAGTCTTTTTTTATAATTTCTCTTTTTAAAACTAATTCCCATGTATTATTTTACTGGATCCAATAATTTGCGTTTTTCTCAGCATTTCTAATGTTGCCGCTAGTTTGTGATTTATTGTGAGATATTTTAAAAAAACAAATCATATGCTTATTTAAAGTTCTCAGCACCCTTACCCACAAAACCGGTTTTCAGAACTCCCTCTTCCGTTATAAATTGGTACTTTAAAAAAAAAATACGATATACGAACTTGCCTTCAAATCTTACCATTTATTCATTATTCTGAAAAAAGAAACTGATTATCACTATTATTACTGACACTCATAGCTGTATTTAGTCTACCTGATTGACAGCCCTCTAGTACCCTTAGGCATTTTGCAGTTCCGTCCATTAGACATGTGCACTGTATGCAGTCGCTTCCAGACTTCTTCAGCCATTGGTCACCAGGCCCCAGTTGTTGTCCGTTGTGGTAGCAAGCTGTGAAGCAATTTACAAAGTAAAAGGGTTTAAAAAAGGCTTGGAAATAAAGAAGGTTTTAAAAATACAAACCAGCAAATAAAGATAACTCATACAAATATTTATGGGCTTAGTGGAAAGAGCCGATCTAAACTGAACTACCTGAGGGTATTATATTGCAAATTTGAAAGTACTTTCTACTGAGGACATGACATTAAGCGATAGTTCAATAGCCGTGAAGTTTATAAGGAAACTTACAAGTAGAAAACGGATAAACCTGTCGAAATTTGCTCCGAAGTTTCCGAAAACTAAAGTTAAAAAGAATTTTGCAGCTGACAGCTGAAAAATAGATTTAAAAGTGACCACAGCTTGGCAAAAAAAGGTCGTCGAAACGAAGAGCGGGTTACATGCCACGAAGTACAAACTAACATTATTTAGCATGCCGCAGTGTATGCAGTCCTCACAGTTAAAATTTCTCTTAACCTGACTAAAAAGCTAAGGATTTGCTTATTCTGTATCCACGTCATCAATTTATTTATTTATAACAACTTTATTTGTAATAATCAATACAAAAAGGCTGCCATCAGGGAGGAACTGAATCCTCATGTAAGATGACCCCCTAAAAATATCTACAAAGCTATTAAGGAAATATAAGTCAGATAAAGACTAATACAATGTAAGAAGAAATGTAAAAGATATCACTAAAATATATCTATTAATAATGGAGTTATTAAAATTATCTAATTATCAAATTAGATATGCAATCGCAACAATTTTATGTTCATTACGTACTAGTTAAAAAGTGTACTCTTAAGCCCTTTTTAAATTTTGACAATGAATCGGCACATATTAGAGAATCTGGTAACGAGTTCCATTCATCTATATATCTATGCCAGAAAGAGAATTTTAAAATATTAGTTCTGGAAAAAGGTTTCCAAATCTTCCTACTATTTCTTGATCTAGTGCTAGCACGAGAGAAAGATAAATAATTGTCAAGCTTAACTCTCGAGAAACCATTAACAAACTTAAATGATTAAATTATCGATAGATATTCCCTACGGGACTTAAGTTCCATCCAACCAGGGTAAAAGTGTAAAAACAAATAGTTTTGTAGTAGCAAAGCCTAACAACCAAAAAACAAAGCTTGAAGAGCTTGAAGAATAACAAATAGCCGGCATTTCCGCATCGCACAGATTTGAATGATTTTTAGTTACTGATTGGCTGGTAACTTTCTTTTCACGCTTCTGATTACAGACGATAGCTTAGTAATTACTATCTATGAGCTCATAGGTGGTGAGTATGGGTGTCAATCAGAATGCGGGATTTGCCCATAATAAAAAATTTTTTACGTTAGTAAGACAACCTCATTTACTCTTTAGGATTCTTTCTCTGAGGCGCATGAAGAAAACCGGTTCGTTTGCAAAAGCGACTTTCCCATTTTGCAACTGGTTGTTGTTTATTAACTGGCCACTAACTATGCCAGAATACTCACCACAACTGGGGCAACATTGTCCTGGAATCTTGACTGATTTCTCGCAGGCCACCTTCTGAATATCACAATCGTATATCTTATGACAGGTATGTTTGCCAGATTGACATTGGCACTGCTGACAGTATATGCTACTCTTATCGGCAGATTCTTTTAGCACCTCTGCGCTTGCTCCATCTCTGAATAACAGACCATTAATCTGACAACTCAGGGCATGCTCATCGGGGTTGACTGGAACTGAAAATGATAATGATTACGATAATGTTAATGATAGTAGAGCTCTCGCGCAGCTGAGCACCATGGGTAAGAAAATTTGTTTGCGTATGCATCCAAGAAATCGGGGTTCTGACGACTCGTCCGAACGTCCGTACGTCCTTCATGTTAGCGGATGCGAAATATCACACTTAATCGCTAGGAGTCCTAGGCATATACTGTGTATGTTTAATGGTATTAGACATCCATGTTATGGTCAATTGACAGCTAACAAAATCAACAGACAGTTCGAAACGCACCAATGACATTACGAGTCTTCATGGCCAATAACATCACGGCTTAACTGACAGACGATCAATAATATAACATCGCGACTTAATTGATTAATCAGGTCAATAACCAAGAGTTAAATACCATCAACTGACGTGATTCAATTCACTCCGATTCTGCAAAGATGACTACCGAACAGGTTGTCGAAACGTCAGTTACTGTCAACAGCAACAGTCCTATTCAGGACTACGTTCACCCGGACGATCAAACTCAACCTACTTGTGAACAGAAATAATGTTAAGTTGTCGGCGCATGTTTCGATCTCATCATTGCCTCTACCACCGGACTTCCTCACCGAATAAAAGTTTCCATAGTTTAATAAAAATCTTAAGGAAGCATTTTACTAGCTTTGGTGACATAAGAAAATAAACTCAAAGAACCATTGATGGTCTGAAGAAGAGAACTGTCTTTTCGTTTCGCCCTGTATTAAAGCCAACCCCTACAGCCTGTAAAGAAATGGCGGAGAGTCTTTGCAACTTTCTATAACTATGACACCAGTGTTTAATTATTCATTGTTTTGTTCTCCGTCCGAATGAAAAAGACTAGTAGCATGGACTGAAAATTAGATTTAACATTGGGAATTGTGATCAATTTCAATGTCCGTTTTTATCCCATTTCATCATGAAACTGCGTGATGTATTTTAATACTGTTTACACAGCACGTAAGGTTTGGTATCATACCACATTCAGGACAGCACTGGCCAGGTACTATCTTATAACTTGCACAATCGGGACTGTTAAGATGGCAGTGGAAAATATGATGGCATCCCTCAACATTGCTGTTATTGCATGTGCACTGGTGACACGCCCCTGTCTTTTTGTCAGCGGACATCTTTAACACTTCCATGCTCTCTCCGTCCTTGTAATAGATGCCGCTGACTTTGCAGCTTGGTGGAGTTGGCCTTGGTATTACTAAATGTAAACAAACAAATGTAAATGATACACTTCAGAACTAAATGAGCAAAAAATTATTGAGGCACACAAACCGAGCCTTTGCTTTACCCATTTTAAGCCCCAATAATGAGTATTAACTGGCTTGTTTTAAACGGTCAGATAAAGAGGACGGCGCAAAGAAACGTGGAATGAAAACAAAGCGAGGGGTTGCGGGTAGGGAGTAAGAGCGAAGGATTACCCTGCCCTCTCCCTCTTCCTCTCTTCCGCTTTCTTTCCCCTGTTCTCCATTTTGCGCCAATTTTCACTGGAACGCCGTCAGCGTGAGTATGGCTATAAGTTCTAGCCGAGATGTTACCTACCACGAGCACAGGTTGGGCAGCACTGCCCTGGTGCTTTGATGAATTGCGTACAACCGGGTTTGTTCATCTCGCAGTAGTAGATCCTGTGACAATCCTCCAGTTCTCCCCCCTTACAGGTGCATTGATGGCACTCCGACGTTGCTTTTAGTCCTAAGGGCTTCAGGACCTCCATACTCTCACCTTCCTTGTACAGTCGGTCTTTGACTGTGCATTTTGGTGCGTTATCAGGGACGTCTTAAAGAAAACAATAACGGAAATCAAAATTTTAGACAATTACCTAAGGATAACGAGATTTACTGCAAAAACCATGGACGAAGATCTTGCTGGTTGGCAACGTTGGATCTCGAGAAAAGAGATCTAATCAGCTATAAAATATTAAGAACAAAAACCGCGAAGTCCAAAGACAACTGCAAAGCTGATATTTCAACGCATATCGCTTTTTTGATAAAAGGGAATTCCTCAAGGGATGAAATTTCTAGATCCTGTCCTTGTGTCCTTAAACTAATCCCTCCGACTTGAAAGACCGTGTATTGATTGCAATGTCTATGGTGAAGTATGAATGTGAGACTACTTCGATTATCATGAGACTACTAGAAATTCATGTTTTAAAAATTGCTTTTTATACTCAAGTTGACTTTTTTTACTGTGAAACTTGAAGCTGTTTCTCAATTTGAATAACAATAAATAAGGTTTTGAGATCATCAGACACAGGGAGAACTCTGGCGAGATGTTAAGAAGGAGTCCTATATTAGTATATGACCAACTTGTTAATAGTCGCTAACAGTTAATTTACCCACAATACCTCGCTCACATGTGGGGCAGCACTGCCCCGGTTTCTTTGAGTAACTATTGCAGCTTGAATCGTTTAGAACGCAGTGGAAGATGTGGTGACAGTTAATTAGCATTCCATCCTTACATGTGCATTGTTCGCATTCACCATTGGCCAGATCACCTTTATACACCTCCATATCGTCACCATCTATGAAGGTTTGTCCCTCGACTTCACAGACAGCATTTGGGGCTTTAACTGGAATGGGGTTTACTAAGGAAGAAAAAAGCAGATGCTACAGTTAGTCTCTGATTGTTGTGAGACAACAGTGATATAAAAGTTCCCATTGCTCGATTGCTCGCTACAAAACGGCTATTCATACTGATTAGGTAGGTAGGTAGGTAGTTAATACTTTATTTAAAAATTCATATCATAAGAGGAACACGTTAGCCTGAACAACACTTGGCTGGTGTCCATGGAGGGTGTCTTAACGCATTTAAAAATTTTATATAAATCCGTTAACTAACACTAATGCAATAATGCATAATGCAATAACGTTACCCTACTGTGTTGACGTGACTAATAAATCCAGTTTATAATGGCAAACGTTATGGCATCTATATAACGTACGTAAAAAATAACCAAACTACGCGTTTTACAATATATATCAATGATATTAAATATAAACTTTAACCCCAAGGGGGGTACTCCGGATTTCAAGTGACGGGGATAATCGAATGGGGGCAAAAATCAAAACCCAAAAAATCCCTGCGGCTTCCAACAAAACCAAAAAAAATCCGTTGAACAAACATTAATCTCCCAAAAGACCCATGCCGTATTTCCGAGCCTGAAAAATTTCCAGAAAGCATTAAATAATATGGTATGTTTACGTTATTTGGTGTTACATTATTCGTAGAACTACGCGACCGGGATAAGCAAGCGCTACCATGAATACCAAAAAAAAAATCCCTCGTTAAATCTGCAGGCCACCCCGAAAAAAATACGTGCCCAATTTCCCCACCCCTCAAAATCCCGCCGAATGGAAAATTTCAAACTCAATAAAATCCTTCGATCATCCCCGTCACAAGTAAAAACAGGAGTACCCCACCGGGACTTTAACACCTACTACTGGCGGTGGTAGAAAGTAGTAGAAAAACCCTTGTTGAAGTTCAAGCGAGTAGCTAGAGTAAGATCGAGTAAGTTATGAGGTACCAAGACTCCAATCACATTTTGATTTCCTGATCCTTAACTGGCGCTATTATGGTACATTAAGTCTGCTGCCAATCAGATCCACAATCTTCCACAACTACTGATCAGGAAACTTATTAAAATAGCCAAGTCGTAACATGTTTGGGTGAATCAACGCAATATAATTTCGATTAATTTGTATTAATCATATCATTTTAGTAAGACTAAGTAAAAAAAACTCACCTTTGATACGATAGACAAAATTAGCCCGATCTTTTCCAACGCCACTGACGCAGTTGTTGGATTTACCGTGCTTGTCATAATTACTTTGTGCGTTTTTACTCGAGTAACATTCTCCGTAAAATTGAATTCCAAACATGGCAGTATAACCCTGTTTAAAGGCTTCTTCGGCACATAGCTGAATAACAAGGGTCATGTCGGGCCACTTTTCCCACAATTTCTTTCCCAAAAAATTTCTGAAATTCTTTACTTTGTGGTTAAGAGCTCTATCATGTCCCCTGTCTTGAAAGCAACCAACTGGCTCGTAGTCAATTTGAACTGTTAGAGGGGAAAAGCTGTCATGTTAGTTTGAAATCCCTGGATCAGTATAAGATTGAAATATGAATTTACGTATACCTACCCCTCCCCTAAACTAACACTCCCCAAGTGAAAAGAAGGATAAGTGTTATCGTTGGGTTAGGGGAGGGGTAGGTTTGCAGTTCTTAGGGGTTCGTCACTGCGAGACGAGCCAAAAATACGTCTGCGGGGGAGGCCACATTTCACCTGAATACTATCAAGCACATATTAGCCTCTGCGACACTAATCTCCCTTTGTCTCTTCACAGGCAACACTCGGAGGAGCTTGGTTTAATTGGCTACATTAGCGGTGTAAGCTGTAAGTTTATGTCCAAACATAGTCTCTTGTAAATTTTTAATTGCTCAGACAAATATACCCAACATTTCAATGTTTTTTGGGCATTGAAGAGGAGAGCATGTAGTCACATGAAAAGAACTGTTCAATGCAGCATTGATCATCTCATAAGACCTTGTAAAAGTATCTCAAATTAAAGTAGGCACAGCTCAAATGAACGTTTCCAATACAACTCACTCCCCAATCAGTAGTTTTTTCTCAGAAACATGTCTGTGAGAACCTTTCTGAACAGTAGTTTAAGGCCTCTCTAGTCCACAGACTTGCCCCCCATTTCCATGTTCAGAATATATCAATGCGACGAATACCCTACTTTATTATACAATGCATCATGCTCACAGTATTAGTAAGGCTGAGTTCTTGACTTAACTTACCGTCCACGTCTCTGACAGCAATCCTCTTGTGATGTTCAGCCTTCTAAAGGTAAATTGAAAAACATATATTGCTGTGGTACCCGAACAATACAATTCAATTTACTTCATTGCAATTCTTTTTAATAATAAGTCAGGGGGTGAGTAGTCATGAGAGTCTAGATGACTACAAATGATTGCAACTGATACGGTACTGGAGACGGGAAGTTTAGACCTCCCTGTTCCCCCCACCCCCACCCCCCCTCCCAATGTAGCAAACAATGCAAAACTCATTTGAAATTATGGAAGAGAACTAATCATTGAGTAAAAAAAAATTAAAATATAAGTTCAAAGGGTACCCTCAATTGATCATCCCGAATTATGTAAGGAATTAAATGATACAAAACGAAACAGAAGCGTGAATAAAATTTTTATACGAAAAACTTAAAAATAATCGTAGTTGACTTTACCTTCGTAATGTGTTTTCCCTCAGCGGCCGTGTGTAAACTAAAAATCACCAGTAAAACCTGAAGTAATACTCTTGATTCCATTTTCTTGAAGAAAAAAAAAAAGATAATAATGAATATTAGCAATGTTTAAAAAGTAGATCTATGCGTTTCTGAACACGGCACATACACATTTACTTCCTGTTCCAAAAATTCAGGCAAGTTTGCAAATGAAGTTTTTCTGATTCGGCAGAGCTCTAAAGTGAGTAAGATAGTAAATATAGTTTACCCTCACAAATTCAGTTCTGTGTTTTAACAAGTTGTGTTTGTTTTCTAGTTTACTTTTCGATGCTGTTTTCCCGCTAAATGACGATTCGAGTCCGATCGGAATGATATCTTAAGGAAATCCAAAAAGTTTGTTAAGAGGCCATGGCCACCATTTCGTTTTCCGTCTTGCGGTCTTAAAGGTGATATTATACAACAAAATTTAGGAATTTTAGAAACGGTGAAGTGACAACCCTTTTTTTTATTTCCTTCTACAAAGAATCGTGATAAATTGTGAGCGTTTTACCATGTTCGTGGTCACATTTATTAGGACTCGTGTCAGGAGACAATTCACAGAAAAGAGAGGCATTTTAGGATCCACATTATCATTCACACAATAACAGAATACAAGTTTCACTTTTCGTCGCTTCGGTTGTGAGAAATGCGTCCACTACTAAGTTATGATCTTGTATTCACCTTCAGGCCCAGCGTCAAATGAACTCTTCACGTTTTTAGTTTAAAGTGAGCTTGAACACAAAAATGAGTAAAAAAGACCAGTACAACTTTGAAAAATGCCGGGAAAACGTTTAGATAACCCAAACATCTTATTAAGGGGAATTTTTTTAGTACAGATTAAGTTTACAACATTGTTACTATTTTTGATCAAGTAATTTTCCATGCGGCTGACCATAGTATTTTCTTCTTTTAGGCTTTGAATGGGTGGACAATATTTAATGCCTAAAAAGGGGTAGACGCCGGTCCACAATCAGCTCTCGGAAATCTCATATAAACGGACAGGCTTTCAAAATAAAAGAATCAAGAAGCGGTTTCTTGGCGCAAGGATTGTAATAATCATTTTCTTGCTAATCTAGTTCGCTGCACGAAGTGTTCTTTTGTTGCAATTAAAACGAAAAAAACGTTGCCTGTACTTGGAGATTAAACCAGTATACAGATGCGAATTAAGTTTGCTATTCAAAGGGCTGCAGAGAATAATATCTGAGTTAAATAAACGTAACATTTTTGCAATAAACGTGTGTCTTGCGAGTTTCCTTCATAGATAAACACAAGGAAGGTAACCGTTATTTCTCTGCAGATGATTCAACATTGTAATTAAAGTTCACTCGACACTTACCAAAATTTAAGCTTTAGCCACAACAAGCTAGTTTTAAGGGGATTGCTTCATCAGCTTTGTGCAGGAAAAAACCTTGATAACACAAGAAAGGTGTCTGATTAGTTTGGATTACTTTTCTTCTTTGTTACGGCCTTAATTCTATTGTCTAGCACGTCGAAACATCAAAATAACTGCAATTTTTAATTTTCAAAAGAGAAGATTTTCCATCACTTCAAACAACCGCCTTCCCCTTGCGTGTAAATATTAAAACAATCGCTCACTTAAACAAATATTCTGTAATAACATGCTTAAATCAGTGCATCTAAGAGCAGTCAGGCCAAACACACAGAAATTCTCAATTAGCAGTTTTCTTTCATTGCTACCGGTCTTAAGGGTAGCTTTTGGTGCACTGTCCAACGAGCAGGCAATCTACGTTTCAGTCGGGACATAGAAAGTTATCCATTCTATGTTAAATGGGTACTTGGGCAATGACAAATTTTCAAAAGCGCCTTAAAGTGGATGCCTATAATTTTTGTCGATAAATTAAGGGCAAACAGTACTCTCCAATTTGAAAGAATATATTGAAATAAATCAATCAAAAGATTTCTTCATTTTTGTCGTTAAACTTTTTGAGACGCTGTCGACATTGATTTTGACTTAAATTTGTTCGAATGTTCGTATTTTCATTCAATGTTTTAGTTTGCGTAAATGATATCAAAATCTCAAATAGTGAATAATTGAGGTATCGGAAATAATGAAAAGCAAACATTAGCTAGGAAATTGGCTTGTGTCTTATTTGACATAAAAGTTATCATTCAAACGGAAGAAATTAGTCCGATCGTATAGGAAACTTGACTTCAGTGGCAGCTGTTTTTTTCTCCGCTTTGGTTTTAAACCAGTTTATCATTCATTACCTTTGACTTAAAAAAGGGATAATCTTTCCTTATAGCTTGAGGGGGATTTACATGTTGGCCGTGTAATTCTGGGACGTTAACAAAGAATTCATAGCTGACTCAGTAATATTATCTACAAGTATGCAAACACCCCTCTGTAAAAGACCCAGTGGAATCTATATCTCCACCGGGTTCTCGGAGAAAACGTGACTGGGTTGGCTTATTTTCCACTGGGTATTTTCTTAGTTGTGTATCTCCCTTAATTAAAAGCTAAACGGGGTGACAGTCCTTACATCTTAACTGATATGAAACCTTGGAAATCCTTTTACATATTACTCTTCCTAACGAGAAGAACTAAAAGATTTACACATTCATGCGGGATCGATTACTTGTACCCTCCGATTTCTTTTTTCAGTGGTAATAATGTTTTATATTTTTGCTCCTTTTAAACAAATATGAATGGCGAAATACACTGGTGTAGAAGTCACAATAAAAAGTGACCGGGGAAGCATAAAATAAGCCGCGTAGCACAAACTATTCGCTAGTATCGGGGAGGCTAAATTATTACTGGGTAGACTATATTAAACGCTAGGTCGGCTTTCACTGCATGGCTCTGTTACAGAGGGGTGTATGCAAGGTAGAGCGTTCCATTGCCTCCAATCGTAGCATCCGTCCATAACCAACATAACTCACTATCAGTTTGGATGCATCTGCAAAATTGAAAGTTGATCCTTTCATCAAAAGATGTCTGAGAATGAAATGTCCCTTACGCTTAAGAGCACTTTTTGAGTGAATTTTACACATTTAATTCAATTAACATCTAGTTCAGAGATCACTTTCAAACCTGTCGTTCTCTTCTGCGCATAACCATTTACAGTTATAATCCTCGTTGTAACACTTGACTTCGGAGATCCAACTTACCGCAGCTTAAAACTTCAACTCATCGTCGTAATAAGACGTGTTGTGGCAGGCCAGTAGGACTGCTAAGTTACGGAAGGCCATCATTTCACACTCCCTTAAAAAGCAATTTTTTTGTCTGATATTAAAGCCAAGTGAGGTCTGGCTCAGTCTTTAATCTTAAGATTAATCGCTTACCTTTCGTATCAACTATTTTCTGCGCGAACTTTTAACTCGGGCCAAAGAAAACTGACTGTTTTCCGAGACTCTCAGTGATTGAAGGATTCTGCTTTGTCTTACAACTAGCCAAGCACCTATCGCTATTATTGAAATTGCTTTCACGGGCACTCGAAAATTGACAAAAAAGCTTTTTTTAATATAAAGAAACTAAAAATCATATTCGGAGCGCCTTTGCTCTTCAACCGCTTTCGTTACTCGCAATCGATTTAATTAAGAAGAGGATAGTTCTTTTCTTGTTGTTTTTTTACTTTAAGTACACATTATCGTTTGCAGGTTTGATAAGAAATCTTTCAGGAAAAGTTGTCTTTCTCTGACTGTTACATATTTCTAGAAACCCGAAAAAGGAATAATTAAAATACGAAATTTTTCCGACCTGAATTCATGAGACCAGTTTAGTCGCTCTTTTAGCTCTGAATGGAAAAAAAGCCGTAAACAATCCGAAAATTTGATTTACGGGAAGTGGCTCAATTTAAGTCGTGTTTAAACAAGTAAATCATGCCCGATAAGGTTCATTTATTATTACTGATAATAAATAAAAAAAGAATTAGCAACCTAGCGGCTTATGTCTGCCCTATGAAAAACTTTGTTGAGCTTAGCTAATTTGATAGTAAATTTAAGACTTGAGATCTTGCAATTTATCTTAAAAGCACAAGTACAGAAAAGTGAAGTCAATTTTTCGCTGATTGGATTATCGTAGTAATATCATAGGTGACGAATTACTCCTTAATTTTGGCGCGAAATTTCAGCGAAAATTTGTAATTTCACATGTGAAATTACAAAATTGCCATGGCAACCTTTCGTACGTCTCAGTGTCAAGATGGCGACGAAGCTTTAAAATGTCATGAATGAAGGTGCCAGGGCATAAAAAGACGCTTTAGAAAACCTGAACACACGAAAGAGCACATCAAGAAGGATTCTAACAGGTATTTTGTCGAAAAACTGAACTTAAGCCAAATTTAAGCGCTAAACGTTCGAGAGTGCAGGAGTTCACGATCGATAAACATGTCAATGATCCAAGATTGCTAACGTAATTCGTCACCCATGATATTAATAGGTAATCAAATGGTATACTCGTGAAATTAGGGAATAATTTCACTTGCGTTTTGTCCAAATCCTAATAATTTCCCGAGCCTTTAGGCGAGGGAAATTATAAGGATTTGGACAAAACGAGCGTGAAATTATTCCTTAATTTCACTCGTCACCATTTGATTACACATACGTAGAAAATACATGCAAAGAGATATTTGGTTAAAAATGATCGGAAGCAGGGTTTTAATTACGGAAGGGAAAAATGTTGTGATATCTGCGCAAAAGTATGTCAAAGTAGTTCAATGCAATGGCGAAAAAGAGTTTATTTTTAGTGGCTTTTATTATACAGACACGAGTGTTTTACTGGAAAATATACCACTCGTAAAATTCACAAAAACTACATCCGGGACCCGAGTGGTTTATTTTCCATAATCTCACACGTGAGTTTATCGATGACGTATCTCGGTAATTTCCCTTCGAAATTTGATGGCGTCTTGCGTCTTTTGAATTTTACTCACACATTTTTTCAAAGCTTTGCTGATTTTGTCATTGTAGAGCCCTATCCAGCTCAGTGTTGTTTCTCAAGATTACTGTAACCAGTGTCTTATATTGCTGTACGGTAAATTTGAGCCGTCACAATTACTTTTTGGCGAATAATAGTCCTTTATTTTATCGATGTCTTTTTGTCTATATAATAAAAAGAACATTACACGGTGGCTTGAAGATATGAATTTTATTTTCTCGTAGGAAAAACAATATTTTACTCTCTCGCTGCGCTCGTTCGTAAAATATTGTTTTGCCACTCGAAAATAAAATTCATATCTTCGCGCCACCGTGTAATATCCTCTATATCTATAGCCCTCAATAACCAGCTCAGTGGTCCGTTAAATTTTTTTCTGTGGAAGTCGAATTAAAATTTATTTACCCATTGAGTTAAAGCGAAGACTTCTTAGCTGACTCATTATTCTTAGATCATTTAGCCTCTGCTTGAAAGAAATTTTCTCTTAACATCGTTCAACGCTTAACCTGGGTGTGTTTTTCAAACTAATCACTGTAATTTTGTTTGCATGCCTCAGTGTCACTTGATCTTTCTTGTATTTGCTGTGACTGAGTCATACTAATGTGGCCTCCATATTGATTTTACGATGGTGAAAACTTTGCTCACTAATTTAGTCAGTAAAATTTGCAACATTTTCGTCGCGGAGGCAGTTAAGAAGTTCAGACAAGAATTTAAGCAAAAAGAAATTGAGATATGGGGACGGCAACAGTTGTATGGTGACGTCATGCAGGTCACATTCCCCATCTTAGATTTTCATGATGGTAGACCCTTAAACTGATTGTAAAGACTTGGACAGAACCAGTAGATTGTTGTCTTATTAATCTAAAAAAGTAATTGCCCTGAGAAGTTTAAAAATTCTCAATTGAATTATAAATTGTGTACATTTTAGGCATCCTACTGATGAACAGTTGCGACACGTAGATATATATTTTTTAGCGACTAAGATAATTTGCAGTCTGTCTACTTTGAATTGTGTTTTAGAGAAGAAAAGACCAGAGGAATAAAACAGGTTTATTTCTGCTTTATTCAACAAACTGCTGCTATCAAAATTAATTCAAATCAAGATTTAATTTTCTATTTGTACATATGCTTCAATAGCTCTTCAGTTCCTGAAAGGATTTGTATACGTCCTGCAACAAAAGACATGGAAAATTAAGTGCTTTACAGACCAGGATAAAGGATCCCTAGATTATTCCTCTCATGTAAATTTTGGTAACAAAACGCCAGCAAATACAAATCTCGAACATTTGTCTATTTTACTTCAAAACAGCGTTGCGAGAATTTGTCTTTGGCTAAAAGGTTCCGGGTGTTTTTAATTTTTTTTTTACATCTTACTTCTCATTTTTGCCTGGAAAATGACGTCACAAATTAAGGCCTTATAATAGTTTATTATTATGGGATACCTGTATAATGACAGCGTCTGAAAGAACAGTTTAGTTTAAAACAATGGCAAAAAAGAAAAAAAAACACTCGAAGGATAAAACGTTTTGAAATTAAATTTTCTCGTCGCTTTCACTTGTCACTGAAAGTAGCTAAAAAGGCTTTCCTGGGAACAAGGCTCATATGGGCAGCTGGCGCCCATACCGTTCCTTTCTTTCTTTCTTCTCTTGACCATGCGAAGGGATCCTCAAGAAGGAATTACGACTAAATTCCTGATCAGAATCTCTGCTTCCTCCGAACCCTCCTTCTTTCAGAAACCGAGCGCTGGCTAATCAAAACTTGTTCCACAGATGGCAGTGTGTATAAAAACTTTTATCTACATTATCCACCCCACCTAATTACGAAGACTGATTCTTTGTGGGGTTGATGTGATTGGTGCCGGTCTGAACTTAACGTCAGCGAAGAACTGATAACTTGTACTTGACGAAATCACAGCCTAGTGTCAGACATTATTATTGAAAAAATGCCAGACTAACAAGTTTTTAAAAACCACTATTACAGCCAGTTCTAATCTTCTTCAAGTTTGTTATCCTTTCTTTAATTTTGTATTTTAGTCCCCTCTTTCAATGGTTTGAGAGATTATTTTTATATGATCAGTTCCTCAGTTTGGTGGCAGTTCCCACAGTTTGAAGGAAGCGGGGGACCGGGCCTTGACAACAGAAACATGCGGCTCCACGTCATACTATGGCTGATATTCCTGGGCATGAAACTTCCCTTAGAGTACATATTATCCCCAGAGGAGAATTTTAACGAATCCAAGTGTGATGAAGACATTCGTTGAGATCTCTCTTTTGTATCAATTCCAGTAACACTTATAATAAATGATTTACATACCCATCTAATCCTTTCACTGGTTGTCATTCATGTCTTCATAGTCCACGCCCTCGTCACCCCAGGGAAATTCAGGAAACACCGGAGGCCTACGGGGAGTGGTGAGCACAATGGTGAAGACTTGCGTAGCTGTTGTGGTGGTGGTCACTATGTGTAGAGATAGAAAACAGATGGCTGTGTCAGTGAAAGAAGAAAAAGTCCGAGTACTCTTAACTGGAGTCGAACATATGACGTTGGGATTACTAGTCCAGATGCTCTACCACTGAGCTACAAGATACTCAATGGAGCTATATAATTATAAAAGCCCACTAAAATACTTAGTTCATTAATATAATAATGTTATAATGTAACTAATGTAATAAAGTACATTTTGTGTCCTGACTTTCTTTTCCTTTTTTTTAGTTTAATATTCTCTGGAAAGAAGAAGAAGAAATCGACTTCCACGTTCCTTGCAAGGATCAAGATTAAAATGCAATTTTTTTTAACAGTTCCTTTGAGTGTTCCGAGAAATTTTCTTCCCAGTTAACTAAGATTCCGTGCGAGAAAACCCTCTGAAGCAAATGCTATGGTTCAAGAAAATTCACACTTAATCTAAAGTTGCGTTATGCAAAAACGAGGGCCCTAAGGATTCTTGCTCCTCCTACCTGGTTTATTGTTCCATTTAGGACCTTGTGCTTGCAATTAACTTGGTCCATTGGACGATCGCAAAAGTTTAATGTGCGTCATGATCTACATGTACCTCTTTCCATACCCTCAGGACACATCTGGTGCCTTGTCTTTTATTAGTAGACATAAACATCAGGAGCCCCTGACTCCTGCCCTGACCCCTCCTTTATACTCACCCGGATCACATCTCGGACAACACCTTCCAGGAACAGTGACTGTGACTCCATCACAAGGCAAACATTGTATTTGATAGCATTCAGCAGCTGCTGATTCTGAGCATGAGCACTCGTAACACACATCAGGAGTCGTGCGTCTGATCCAGGAGTCACCAACAGACATTTGTTGGCCATTGCTGACACACTCTATAAAACAAGAGGGTGTGGATCTTTCATTTCTTAGAAAAGCAACTAAGTTTGATCAATCAATCAAAATACCATAATAACTTGTAAGAAGTTCTATCGGCGTTATCAAAAAAACGCCAAAAAAATGTCTTACAAGGAGACTTAAAATTTACGACAGGGGATGAAATCCTAAAGGGATCGTGTCGAGTAAAAGATATACCAGACGGTATTTTTCCTTCGTACTGTTTACAAGGTGATTAAGAATCATTGAGTCAATGGATGAAATCCTCAGGTATGACCGTTTAGATGATGTACTTTCTGCTTCTGTGCACAAAAACACTAAGTTCATCCTCTGAAGTATGCTAATTAAGATCTCACTTTCACTCCGCTGGACAGTACACAGTCTTTAAGCTAAACTGGGAGACGGCCATAATTAAAGAAATGAATTTCGTTAAGGCCCTTTTTTTCTTACCACATTTTGGGCAGCATACTCCTTCCACACCAACGCTCCACCTTTCGCAACCATCTATTAAAAATGAACCGAGACCGATGTCGCAGTAGTAGAAATAACAGTTATTAATGCTTCCAGCCGAGCAGTCGCACTGGGTACAACTGGCGCTCTCAATAGGGGTAGTGACATTATGATAAATAATTGTATCGCCATCCTGGTATGTTTTGCCATTTGCTTGGCACGTACCTGTATGGAAATGCAAACATAAGATGACGTTGTCTGTTAGTTACGTTTCCCTTGCAGTGTGTATATTGAGATCGTTGCCCAGAAAAAAAGCAGATGACTTTTAAAATAAAAAGGTCTAAAAGTGAAGGGCTTAAAACCTCGCCTCCATTATGGTCATTATCAATTTTTGTCAAAAAGATGCTTATTAAACAATAACCCCTTTTCAGCTTTTTTAACCCCTTTCTCAGAGATGTAGACAGAAAGAATTATCACAGTCCAGCAGTCTGTTTGGAGAGCTTGACCGTCCAAAATTATATGGTACCACTTCGAAGACAAAAAAACCTGCCCATCAAACCTATCATCTCATGCACACGCTCATGACGGTTTAGTGACCTCCTTGCAATGTGATACGCATAGGCGAGTATCTTACTAACGAGAACTTATCAGTCCTAGCAAAGTACTCCTCGCACTAATAGAAACTCTAAGGGAGTGGCTCATTGAACTTATTTTAAAATAAGGTAAAATTTTAGGAAATATTCTGCGAAAATCATTTGAAGAATTCCTTAAAAAACACTACAAAAAGTACAACCGGTATACAATACTTACCACACCTCTTCTCTCTACCTCTCTTTGTTGATCGATATCATTATATGAAAATAATAAACAAAAACAACATCTTAGCAATTAAGCGAAAAGGATGAAATAATCTTAATTTTAGAGGGGATGTGATCTAGTAATCATGGTAAAAAAAACACTGACATAACTATAATGTCAATTTACTTTTAAAGGTCAAAATAACAGGTATTACCGGAAGCGACTACTTGCAGTGAACCTGTCTAACTGGTCAAGTTGGAGGTGGCATTTTCAGGTTGTCACTTCCCCTGAAGAAAAAAAGGTCTCTGCTTTCTCCTCAGTATAGATCGAGAAAAGAGAAACTATGGCATTGGCCGCACAATTAGTTTAATAACGGCTACTTAAGGTGGCTTGACCCAGTATTTTCATAGGCACACCCTAAATCTTTGAATCTCCTACACTTATTAATTAACAGATCTGTCTATATTGTAAAACGATTATAATAAACGGATTACACTTAGACTAAACTTTATTATGGTATTATTTTTTGGGCGATCGGAAATGTCACGTGGCAATGATGTTACGATGTGACCTGTTCGGCATTTTCTTTTGAAATGCTTTTTACGTTACGTATTGTCTTCTGCTGTGCGAAGTTTCACAAAAATCTACGTACAGCTTACAAAAGAAATTTCACAATATCATGGAATTTCTATAAAAAGGGTATAAATTATACATGCACTCATGACTGGAATTAATGCAGAAAAAATTGCTACTTTTTGGATGTTTCCGAAAAGGTTTTATCACTCATTCGTTTTGCAAATGACCCTTATACACTTTGGAAGGCGCTGAACGCAGGTACTCTTGCGCGAGTTCGAAACACATCAAAACGTATCAATCAGGGTAAAACGTAATGCTGAGCTCTTTTTGTAATTTCTAAGGCTACTTTCAAGAAAACCGCGATTAAAACATATATAATTCGTCGATAGATTTTTTATATTCATTTTTAGTATATTAATTGATCAGGGTACTATTAAGACCCTGAATTTCATGCCGATTGAAAACTTCTAAAGTTGTCTAACATGAGCTCAAAAGTAAGCAAATATTGAAGCGATGTCATAAATCTGGCTAAGGTTTTGCTCTGGGACTTCCTATTGTCTCGAGTTTAGCACAACATCAAATTCCGATGCAGCACGCCAGAATTTACCTTGCTTGGTTGCCCTCTGAAATCTTTCCGAAATATGGCAATGCTGTAGAATGGGAGAAAACAATAGAGAAAAGATTTCAGAGGGCAACCTGTACAGTGACCTATATGGTGATAAGGGTCATTTGCAAGACGAATATGAGTGACAAAACCTTTTCGAAAACATCTAAAAAGTAGCAAATTTTTCTGCATTAAGTCCAGTCCTTAATGTATGCATAATTTATACCCTTTTTCTAGAAGGCCATGATATCTCGAAATTTCCCTTATAGATTTTTGTGACACTTCGCACAGCAGAGGACATTGATCCAAAGAATGCGTAGCTTGAGGCATTTTCAATATAAAATCCCGAACAGGGCTGAAATTCGTTTTATAGCTAAAACCATCGTGACGTCATTGTCACGTGACATTTATTCTGATCGCCATAAAAAATAATAGTTTAGTCTAAGTGAAATCCATGTGTTATAATCATTTTACAATGCAGACCGGCGGATTTGTTTAAGTATACGAGATTCAAAAATGGAGGGTTTGCCTATAAAAATGCTGGGTCGAGCCACTATAAGAGACGGTTGAGCAAAAAGGAATTTGAATCAACACAGTATCAACCTTTTGTAAATCTAGTCAGTTATGTAATAAAAATCAAGAGCGCTTTCCCAAGTTGAACTGGCAGGACTAACTACTCGTTTTGAAAATGAAACGTAAGTCATTTCTCGTCATTTACCCTTAAACTTATCACTGCCGCGCATGCTATATTAACTGATCTGGCTGGATAGTCTTGATTAACATTAAAATACTCCTTACCGCGCCAGCCCTGGTGTGGCCAGCCAAAGCGCCCTTAAATATAGGCCACTGGTGTTAAGCCAGTAAGGTGACTTAAATCGTTTACTGACAACTTTCTGAGGGCGACGCCGATCTTCAATTTTGTATTGGGCGGTAAAACATTTTTTGATATTTGTTCGGCGAGGCTTAATTTTGTTATTATTATTATTATTATTATTACTATTATTATATATTAATTAAATATGACTTACCGTATAAAAAGACCGACCATGGACAGCAATGGAGAGAGCAGAGAAAAAGATTACTAGTTGGCAACGCATGCTTAACCAGACGTATGCTGAAAATTTAAATTTAGTTTTGACTCATTTTAAGCACTTAATGACAGTATAGACCTCTTTTATAATGGCGGCCTATCAATAATTATATTCTTTTATATGGATGATAATTAGCCTTTCTGACCGTGTTAGCATGTACAAAATACAAAAGAATTCTTACTGTCAATTGAAGTCAGAAAGGCTAGTTACCATTCATATAATAGAATACAACTATAAGTTGCCATTATGAAAGAGGTCTATGTTAGTTAGTGAGAGAATGGGAATAGAAAAAAACGAAAACCAAAAACTCTTTTAATATTGAGATACGTGGATAGTATTTTGTGAACAGGCCTAGTTTGCTTTGGAAAAGAATAAAAAAATCTGAGGATGAACCAGAATTTAGTATTCAGTACAAATATATTGATCACATTTCTTCACTTGCACAATCACACACAGGAAGGTTTTATAATGTGTAGTTAATTTAGTCAATTTTGCTTTTTGTGACAGACCTGGCAAAGGAAATTATGATTTTGTCTGACGTCGATTGTGATTAGTCAGCCAACAAGTTAATTTATTTATTAAATTTTTGGTTTCGACTCCTTCAACTACGTTGAAATTTAGTTTTGCCATTTACAATGTCATATTGAAAATGGTAGTTGTTTGGAAAGAAGCTCTCGGAAATTACAAGTACAGTTTGTTGGTTGTACATATTCCCCTTTGAAGGCAATAAAAGACGACTTACGTTTTGTTTTAAACTTGTCCAAATTATAAATAAATAAATATGATTTATTCCAAGCTTAAGTTCCAAATAAAACTAAACAAAAAGTTGCTGTTCATGAATTTTAAGTAACTTTCATCGTTAGAACCATTTCCCTGCAAACCAAACCAAACCAAACTAAGCGTGCAAAATCTCATTTCTTTGAAAGGAATCAATTGCTAGATCCTTCTTGGTGCACATGTTTAGAAACGATTGGTATTCTGGTAGATCAAACAGCACAGAATAGAACCTTTGTTAACTAATGATTTATAAAGAAGCAAATATCTCTTAAATCGTAATATAATTTTATCTTAGAAACTTACCTGAAATATTGTATGGACGTTCTAAGCTTTCAACGAAGAAAATTTCACCTTCTTTTAATCCGCGCGTTTGGGACACAATCTGCGTCAAATTTTATTTATAGTTTCGTAACTTTAAAGCACTACAAATTAAAAAGCAATTTAAGTTCCGGTAGACCCATTCATGCACAATCATTTTTCTTTTTCAAAATCATAATTACAGTTTTGTGAGATAGAGCGATGGGTTAACGACTTCTTTTAATTTCCTTAACGACTGTAAAGTACTGTGAGGAAATGACGAGTTGCCTTTATGCCACTTAACAAGTGAGATAGTGAGATAAGCCCTGGACTGTGATAGGGTCTATTCTGATTAAGTAAACAAAAATCGTAGGTTTAACATATAATTATGCTTTATTGTTTAGGGGCGATGAATTTCATAATTAGAATCAGTACTTATCTTTTCAACCCGGATCCCGAGAAACGCTAATCTTTCAATTCTTTCTTTGGTGCTGACGAAATGGATGGCCAGTCTCAGGGAGAGAAAAAAAAAGATCGAAAAAGAAATTTGTATTTAAACAAGTGTTTGTTTATTTCAACTGTACCCTTTGGAGGTAACTGTCCTATTGAAAAAAGAGAGCATTTTTTGCATCAGGGCTATGATTAAAGTGAGTTTTCGTCCTAGGCGTGTAAATGACAAGGGAGATTATAATAAGTAATCATTACTAAAATTCAGGTTTGATTCGACTTTCTTCTCTCCATTTTAGTTTAAACTCAGCATAGATTTTCGTTGAAATTGGGTACACTGTTGTAACTAGTCAAGAAGATGATTAAAACGTAATACTGAAGAAGTGGGCTGAGCCACTGTGCTCGTTTTCGTGTTGGCTTTGGGGGAATAACAGCACGCAGTTCAAAGCCAAACAAACAGGCACAGTTTTTTTCCCAAGATGTCTGTGATGATTGCACAGAATGTGACTCTTATTCTGTTATTTATGACTTAGAACCAGAAAAATGCCTTTGAAATTTGTTTGTTTTTACTTTACGCTCCAACTAAAGTAGAAAATGAAAATGATTTTGATACTATGCTGTTCGCAAGCCATAGCCGCCCAATCCGTACAATTTACTTAAATAGCCAAAAAAAAAATATAGGATAGACTTCTCGGCTCCCAACTTTTTTTTTAAATTAAAAGAAAGGGTTGTTATCGTAAAAAATTCTTTCAGTTATTAGTGAGACCTGGGGCTTGTTTCAAAATCGAATTTACGTGGAAGATAGGAGAAAATACAAGTTTACGGATTTTTTATCGAGATATTTCACTTAAGACGCACTGTGGATGACAATTAAATGCCTTTGTAATGACCGGATTAGACACAATTTTAAAATCCACTTAGTAAGGAGCCGGTGAATAAAGTGAACGCAGCAACATTCTAACAATATTGAGACTCGTCTCTACCAGAATAAAAAAAAAGCCATCGAAATTCTGTTGACGTTTCTTATATTAATTATGTTTTCGACGATCAGTACGCTACGGGGAGGATATTACACGCCACGGACACTATCACACTGTTCTATTTTCTGAAGGTGTCTTTCTTCAAATTCAGATTGAAAATAAAGGAATGATCTTGTGGCCCGTGGTGAGGTGTCGTCTCACACAGTGCGTGGTATCATTTAGGGGAGTGCCATTTGCTTCAGCCAATCAGAAGCACTACTCAGATCTGGTAGTGAACATCAGTATGGGATTTGTGCAGGCGTTCCCCAGACGTCATTTCCCAAGGAAACCAGTTGGTGGCGTTGCGAAATGTCAACTATTTTCTCAGGCCACTCGTAGGTGTGTAAATAAATTACTGATTTTGCTCCCACTTAGGGTGTTCAAGACTTTAAGCCAATATTCATACCCATATAGGTATCCCCTAGGGTTGTGCGCAAAGAAATATAAGACAGCTTTAGATGTCAACATCTAAAAAGAGAAAATCTACCTTTATTCGAAATCAGTACACATCGATTTGAACTAACGTTAACGCTAATAGTTTCTACCTTGAGCGGCAAAAGCTTTGTACAACTTAGCTTACTTTCACGCGCGGTGAATTTCAACACTTCCGTCGATTTCTTCTCACAGATCGATGAGGAGTGAGTTTTTAGCGCCGGTCACCTTTTAGGGTTATAATTTTTTCGACGAGTTCTTCAGCCATTATTTGTGGGAGCTCTCCTCTGACCCCCAGACCATTTACGCCGACAAGAAATTAAAACTTATTCAGAAAAACATGATAGTAGTGGGGCTTTACATTCGTAGCGTCTCTCGTAGGTCCATATTATCAGTTCACTTCAGTTCACTTTATAAATCTCTAGTGTATATCTTTTAAATTATTCAGTGCTCTCAGTTAACAACGGGCTTGTCGAAGCGGAGAGAAGTTACACACCAAACGCAAAGTTGAAAATCAACGGAGTGCAGACAGCGGAATTTATCGACTTTCCTCCATACGGGAAGACAGTCTAACTGAATAGGTCTGTTTTGAATAGATTAACTTAAAATTATTGCTAAGCTTATGAATGAGATCAGCAGCATCAGTACTTGTTTTCAATACAATAAACTTCACCTGTTAAGTAAGACAAAGGAAAAATAAAATTAATAACTCACGCCACTGTCACTCATTGAAACTAAAATTGTGTTTCGACTGACCCATATGAAACATATTCATCTTGTAGCGAATTGACCTGAAACAGTTTTAAGCTACATTCCTGATTTTGCGTACTCCGGGGCCACGAGGCTGAGGATATTTTTTTTTAAATAAGCTTTTATTATTTTTGTCCTTATCCTCAAAACCGAAAGAAATATTCCCCCACCTCTCGATTAGGAAAGTTAAAGCTAATGAATCCATCAAAGGTGCAGAGACAATTAATTAAAAAAAAACATTTTAAAAAGTTAACAAAAAGGTCGTAGATGATAGCTTTTTTTGCGTAAAGTAAATTGAGAAGAGTAATGCCAATACTTCTTTTGGGACAAAAGCTATTATTTAGATATTCTAAACGAACTGAAGCAATGATACCTGGTATTGTAAGGTTAACTTTACCAATTGACTAGTACTTTAATAGGTGGTACTTAATACCACAAAACGACCGAGAATTCTCAGAGTAAGTTACATTGTGCTTCCCTTGAATTAGTAAGTTCGTTAATCACAATCGTTTGTTTGATTTACAAACAAATGATTAATTTCAGTTCAACTGGGATTCACTACTACATGACAGCCTTGCTGTGGACATTGGTGGGCCAAAAAATATCCTGGTGAAGTCACTAACAGGAGCCAAAAGAGTGAAAATACCGCTTTAATTTTGAGGTTGACCATCACTGTTTTCGCTCGATCCTCTATCCGGTTCCAATGATATGATCGACAAGGGTTCAGTCGTGGGTTTGGCCCATGTTTCTGAAATAAAAGCATGGATGGATAAAGGAAAATCAGAATGAAGGGCCTGTTTGATGACCTAGAAATCATTCAAACCCTTCACCACTCTACCGACATATCACACCTCGACCTACAAAATAATTAGCAATTATTGAGTGAGGTTTGCTATAATCTGAAGAATTATGTAGATCTCTGTCCGCTCTGCTAGCAATGCTTTTCCTTTACTTGCTCCACTTTTGGTGTCTCAAGAATGACACTCCATGAATCGAATCAGATCCGACTTTGTTGAGCATGTCCTGCTTGTTGCTAGGACCCAGGCCTAATAGCCTTGCGCTTGCTACCGCGAGCTTAGTTGTTGCGGAACGGATTTTCGCACTCGGAAAACCAGTTTGACGATAGAAAACAAGATTAACTAGTCCAGAAGCTGCAGAAGTCCTGGCTTCGGCGCCTTGAAGACTGGATGTGATTCAGACAGAGCCCCCATTTTTTCTCCCCACTCAAGAAGGTTAAAAGGAAGTTCTGCTCACAGGGTGATCTCGGTCGATCTGCTAAATTCTCTCATGAGAGCCGAACCCAATAGCTATTTCATTACTTATTGAAATTTTCTTTACTTTGAAAACACGCTTTAACCTCGATCGATGTTCAGTTCCCATCGTCATTTGATGTTCCCCAGCAAATTCAGGATCAAAAGTTTAGTCAGTCAGATATTCTCCAAATAGCACTTGTCATCCGTCGCACCTAAAATAGGGAGCTTTAGCATCGACGACGGCAACGGCAGCGAAAACGTCAGTTTTAAAATGAATTCCCGTTTTTTCAAACTTTGTCGCGTTTATTCCAGTTTGTTGAAAATGGCAAGTGTAGGCAAATTTCCCTGGAGTTGATTTCTAGAGGACCGAACTCAAGTTTAGACAGAGAAAAAGAGATTCGTCGTCGCTTGTTTACGTCCTCCATAAAACTTGCAATTAGCCTTTTTCACGTCGTAGTCGTGCAAGGACGGTAAAGAAATGTACAAAAAAGCGTGATGCACGTGCAAACTTGTTGTTTTACGTAATAAACCCATTGCTTTTTTGGCGTCCTCGCTGCCGTCGCCGTCGTCGTTGCTAAAGCTCCCTAATAACACGAGGTCGAGACTTGGGTGGATCATTTGTGCCTTGAGCCGGTGCCTTTGTTCACAGGAATGCAGGATGGGTCAATTTATGCCTCTAAGGGATGAGGGGTGGAAGGGAAAGGAAGGAAGGGACATCTCACCCCTGTCTTACTACATTCTCAGTGGATACATACTGCATTCTGGACAGCAAAATCCTGGTTTCATCTCCGTCTCCAAGCAATCAGGTATATTGCGGCATATAAATTCATTGTCGGAACAGCGTTGAACCTGGTATTTACATTCACAGATAGTGCATATGCCTCTTAAAGGGTTTTCTCCCTTAATTTCTTTGATCTTTTGCCATTGCTGACCTTCTTCTAGGTCTCCGCAGTCTGTCGATCATTAACAATGAGAAAAGTAAGGAATATTTAACAATTATTTGCCGAAGGCGAAGTTAATATTGTTGAATAATCCCCGAGACGAAGTCGAGGGGATTATTCAACAATATTAACTGAGCCTGAGGTGAATAATTGTTTTAGTATATTCACACGAAGTGATCTCAACAGAATCAGAAAGGAAACCATTAAAAAACGATTAGTTTGATTGACGGGTGAAAATTCATGCGTGAACACGAAGCCGTAAACAGTGAATGCGCAAAAGTTAGATCTTTACAGTATCTTCAAACATGGCAAATGATAGTTTTAATCCTTTTGTATCGAGTTTTGTAAGCTTTAGCATCAACGGTTTAAAAGAAAACGCCGAAAATTTAAATTACTACCCAATTCTGAGAAGAAAAGTACCTAGAGCTTTATTTGTTTCTGTCAACTCACCGTGAATGAGAAAGTTTTCTTCGCCGCTTCTTGCAAACGCTGTCAACAGCGGCTGCGATCAAGGTGAGCGTTCATTATCTCCAAAGTTCTTTGCCGTGTTAACTTGCTGGCACGTACAATTTTCGAAAATATTTGCCTTCCTCTCTTCTCCATATATTAACTTCTATTTATAGGCAAAATTGGTCTTGCGAGAAAATCCCGAAATCTCAAAACAGTGACAAAGCGACCTCGTTTTCCTCTGTAGTGGTAAACATAGCTTCGAGCGTACAAAAAGTCAGCTAAAGTAAACCACTCCACAATAAATCACGCTGTTTAAACACCATGAAGTCTTTTCTTGCCTTCAAAGTCATCAGCACTTGGATATTCGTGTATTTTCAAAAAGGTTTTACTTTGAAACTTTGGCAAAATTTTGTTCGGCTTTAGTTTCAGTGTGAAAACGTAATCAAACATAATGAGCTCGAAATAGGACGAAGTATTAGCGGTCCAAACTATCCCAACTGAATGAGGTGCCTACCTTTAAACCGTTTTTTACCTTTGCTAATAAATGGTACTTCATTCCTCAAGGCAAGAGCAAAAATTTAGCCGTTTCAACTCAGATGAAACATCATCGTGAAAATAATGGTATATTAACTTCATCAACTCGGAGTTACAAAGTCAAGATATACCATTATTTTCAAGATGACGCATTTGATTTACAGTTAACAATATTCATTTTGATTTTGCGTTCTTACAGTGGAACCTTGATATAACGAACCTCTGTATAACGAAGTCCCCGGTATAATGAACGAAACCTCCTTAAAGCGAGGTTCCAATGTACTTAAATTTGTCAATTCAGTTGACGTTTAAAAAACAGTAGCGTTAGTCTGTACAAGAAAACAACAAACTGAAGGATTCTAGCAGCTACAGTAAAATTGCGTTCTCGTTTAATAGCCCACGTTTGGTATATTAAAATTCTAACATCACTCCGAGGCTTCCTGGTCATATTTCTATAATTTTTTTAGTTTTTTAAAGAGCGCTGGACTTGTAATCCGGAGGCAGGCCACGAGTTTAAGTCCCTCCTTAACCGCTAGCTGGATTTGTTCTCGGTAGTCCCGAGTTCAAATCCTCAGCCACGCTTGTAAAATAACCAACTGGTTTGCCTCCTTTCCAGATGGGATTTTTAACCATGTTATTTTACACTTGTTTCATGCATTACCCCTGAAAAGCCCATAAGGGGAGAGGATATTTAAAGTATTATTTCCTTATTCTCTGTGTCATAAGTCTCTTATGGGAATTGCTAGACAATGGAGTCGTGAAAAATTTGTAATTTTGTCCCTAAAGCCTCGGAGTAATTTTAGAATTTTGATGTTATCGAACGTGGGGTATTGTCCAATTAACAAGACTAGTTAACAAAGCAACAACAATTTTCCATGGTCTATACTCTTACCAACCATATAAAAGACGTCAAAATGTTCAAAATCCACAAGTGGAACCACTAGCCGCAGCTGCGCGCAGAGTTGTTTCTCAGAAAATCGCGCGCGCGAGAGAGAGAAAAAGAAATCGCGCCACCATGACGTCATTTCAGTGGTCTGTACCCTTATAGAACATAGCTCTCGACTAATCAGCGCTCGAGAAATCTGTCAGTTATTGTAAAAAATGAACATTGCAAATGTGTCGTTCCGAGATATAACTCTTCGAAAGAGCCAATGGATTCAAAATGAATACATCCACTCTGACGAAGGGCTAGCGTTTGAAACGTCATGGTTTTCAACATTACGGTGGTTGTAGATTAACGCGGTCATTAATTCAGTTGAGAAAACCATATATTTTAGGGGTTTCACTCCTCCAAGGACGCGACACCATATGTTTGTATAAACTAAACCCTTGGATTCTTAATTTAAGGATAACTTTAATAAAAACTAGACCAAGCCTGCATGCATAACCTTTCTGATAACTTTGCTTGGCGCGAAAGGGAATTCTTGATCAAAGCCTCAATTTTACACCGACTGCAGCAGAATGTAAAAGACAGGATGCTTAGAGCGGGTTGGGCTGCAGGCCGCTATAAGCCGAGCTAAGCCGCGATGCTCGCCCCTCGGTGAGCAATCGCACAGAATAAACACTCGATTTTGACGATCTTGCTTTAAAATAGGGGTTTCTACTCCCACGCGTATATTTCCTCAACTATATTGCAAATTCCATAGAGTATTTGGAAGTATAAAATCTTCTCTTTCTTAAGCCTAGATGTTTCATTTGTGGGTTCAAAAAAGAATGGTTTCCTGGGTTGCTCACCTGTTTTTTTACAAACAGGACAGCAGTCATCTTCAGGAAAAACGTAATCCTCTTTGTCGCAGGCCAAAATGGCATCACAGTAGTAAACCGTCTTACACTTTCCAAACCTTCCTCTTCTGACGCACGTGCAATTTTCACACCGATCGTAATTTGGTGCTCTGGGTTTTAAAATGGTTTGCCCTCTCCTGTACGATACACCTTTGTATTTGCATTTCTTTCCACCTGCAATACAATAAAATGTCAGCGAAGTAAATAGTTTGTTGCGCATGCACGATGTGATTCTGATACGTTTGCTCATTGTGCGATAGACGACATAGGAAAAAGCCTATTCCAGCTTTAATTTCTGGGTAGTTCAAGGTAGAGTCAAACCCTAGCAAAAGGTTTTTATATGTCATATTTGAAGATCTTGAAAATCACGTACGCGTGATACTGAAGACCTAACAGACCAGACGAACTTACTGATGTCGTTTCTCTGTTCATTACAGTCTGTTTCTACTGACGTGGATAGCCTCTTTGCGTTTATGTTGTCTGTTCTCTATATACGAATACAACAACAACAACACTTTATTCCGTTTTTAAAAGAACAATACTCCACTAAGTTGCGTAAAGAAATTACGACGGAAACTTACCGCGTTCTTCCATTAATAGAACATCATCTTGCCAGCTGATATTCACTTTGGACTCCTGAAAACAAAAATAATTCTTTTTCACTACGAAAAACGGACTTGTCCTCTTCACATTGCAAGTTGACAGCTTGGCTAGGATTTCAGTGGGCCTTGAATGATCCAATAGAAGCCCTCTCTCAAGTTAACATATCCATTACATGATTTTCAACGTCAAATTTAGAATAAGAATACTATTAGGTTAATAACAATGACAACACAAGAACTGACCGAAGATTCTGACGTTGTTTACCACTTACATGGGCAAATTGATCGGTCTATGATTTGGGCAAATGGTACCCAAAATTCAGGACTGGTAAATTTCGACTCCGAATCGCTTTTACCATTATTTTGTACAAATCAGTACCATTTACCGGAAAACGACCACGAAGGCCTGAAATTGATATTAAAGAAGGCTGTGAAGAAATGGAACACAAATTTCCGTTATTTGGAATATTCCGTCCGGAAAAACAGGGGTGCTTTCCATTCAACCAAAACTTTAGAAAATTTGGAAATAGCAGCAAATGGAACAGAAATTTCCCAGAAACGTTTCCTGAAATTCCGGAAACTGTTGAATTTCCGAAAAGCGAAGCGTTCAAATGAAATTTCTAGAAATTCCGGCCAGGAGCAGAGTTGAATGAAAACTGTCAAACTTTCCGGAAAAAATTTGAAAATTTGGGCATACGTCGCAAGGCTGTCCTGTAAACAACCCTTGGTACCCGTATCGAAGCCGCTATCGGTCCTTTTATGAGCTTGCAGTAACCTACCCAGTCCATGATCTGAATGATGTATGCAAGGTAGACCACACCCATCGAGGAAACGTCCCCTATTCTTTGCGCTTTTTTTTGGCTCTCAGCAGTGTTTTTTTTTTTCTGCCTTTTTTCACCTACTGCGAATCCTGGTCCCAGGCTATTGGCAAGGAAAAAGTTACTTTAGGAAAACTATGAAACTAAAAGACATAAAAAGGAGAACTATGATTGAGATCATCTCTCACAATACTTCAGTTCTCTTTTCCTTGCTTTTCAATTGGAGTTTTATAGCGATAAAAATGAATCTCTTTTTGTCGTTTTTACAACAACAGGAAGAAATCTTTTATTTTTTCTTGTTTGTAGCCATTTAATTATCGTCGGGGATATTACCTGAAAGGATAAGTCATTGCTGCCTTTTAATGCACTGCTTGCCTCGGTGCATGCTTTAAGAAGCACGAAAATGGCTGTTAGTAGCATCTACCGAAGAAAGGAAATTAAGCATGCGCAAGTTAGTTGACGTTAAACATATTGCTTATCGACGTTTAAACGTTCCTCTGGAGTGTGGAACTGAGTATTGATCTGATAAACAACGTCGGATGGCAGATAAATGGAGTCTGGATTAAAAGTTTCAATGAGACTGGTACCCAGGGAATCTTGCGAGTGAAAAACACAAACACGTTAAAATATGCCATTTCCGTGTTCCGAAAACTCTCACTTTCGAATGAAAGTGAGTTTTACTTGCATGAGAATAAAAAAACCATTTTCAAATGAATGGCTTCGCACTCACGTTAAAACAGAGGTTTGACGCATCTTAGAAATGGGCAATTCTTATGGCAAATGTTTGTATGAGGTTTGTATATATCGAAGGGCGGACCTTAACGCTACTGGAGCAAGGATGGTAACATATATGAATAGAAAGAATAAATTACTTGAATAAAAAGCGTTCAAATCATGTTCAACTTCAAGCCAAATTCCAGGCAACTTGTACTGTACATGTCATAGGAAAACCGAGAGCGCACTTTAAGTAGAGGTGGAAAGCGACTGTCTGTCTGACTGTCTGATTGAATGCACCTATATGCAAAACAAGAACGATATAGGAACTTTTACCGCTGAAATCCCGCGTTTTTTGAAGAGCCCCTGGGTACCGACTCTCACCGGACCATTTCCAAAAGGTGAAGCCAATGCTGCGTCCTGATTGGGCACAAAAAATGGTTTGTATTATTGTGTCCAATCGGCGAACAGTTTCTCCTGAGTTCTTTTCGTGAGTTCGTACAAGACGGCTGTTATCTCGCGACAGTTGCCCCGGGTTCGTTCACCAAGCTTTCCTAAGCAGAAACGAAGGAACTACCGGAAGAGTCGAAAAACGTTTGGGATGATATCAGCAGAAGGAGCAATTCAATTTGCACTGAGAAAATTCTGTTTCTGACGGATCACAATGTATCGTAGATAATAGGAAGTTTAAGGCCTTGTTTACATGGAGTGGGGGACTCCGGTCTAGTGGGGTAGGTTTCTTTTGTTTTGTGTCCCCCAGAGCGTGAAAACAAAAGAAACCAACCCCAATAGACCGGGGAGCCCCACTCCATGTAAACAGGCCCTAAGATTCAGCGGCGACGAGAAAGTGAAAAAAAGCAACAGCTTGACAAGGCAAAACAACAACTTTGCACGTGCATCACGCTTTTTGGTACTTTTCTTTGCCGTCACTGCACGACTACCACGTGAAAATGCCTAATTTCACGTTTTGTGAAGGACGTAAACAAGCAATGACAAAATTTTCTTTCTCTTTATGAACTTGGATATGGTTTATAGAAATTCACAGCTGAATTCAGCTCCGGAAGAGTACGCTTACATTTTACAAAGTAAGCGAGTTGGAATAATCACGATAGAGACTGAAAAAATGTGAATTCACTTTTCATGCGCTGTTTTCGTGGCTGTCAGCTGTCGTGGCATCTTTAATAGGGCCTGTTTACATCAAAGGGGGACCCCAGATAGGTGAGGTAACATGTGGCATTACTTCATGTGTATTAAAATGAGAGACCAGGCGGGTTACCCCAAAGCTTACCTCACCTTTTCCATGTAAACAGGCCCTAAAACTCCCCAATATTTAGTACGAAGGCGTGATCAATGCAAGCGTGAATACCTGTCGTGTAAGCTAAAGCTTGTATTTTTGGAAAAGCGTCTTTAGCTTTTGGGTAGACAGCATATTGAAATGGAGAGTTTATATCAAACTGAAAGTTTCCTGACTGCGTGCATTTCTTCGGTGCATGAGCCAGACAAGCCGTGATCGAGTCAACGGCCGTCGTGTACGCACTCACGAAAACAACTCAGGAGATGCCTTTCCCCCAATCGGTTCAATAATACAAAACAATTTTGGGCCCAGGCAGGAGCCAGCATTCGCTTGACCGTTTGGAAATGGTCCGGTGAGAGTCGGTACCTAGGGGCTTTTCCGCCTTTGCTTGAAAACTTTCGTCGCGCCTTTTCTCACAGTCCGACCGACCGCCCCTGGGTCTCCGAGGATGGAATCAGGTATGGTTCTCGAGGAAACCGGCTAGGGGCGTGTATGAACGTATTTATCGTTTCAATTCCAAATGAGTATAAAAAAAAGAGAAATAAGCGAACTCGAGATGGATTTAAAGAATTTTCTTTGTTGCTGTTCTAATCTAAGTGTAAATGATGGCATAAATTCCTTGAGAGCTATGTCTGAAAACGAGTCTGAAAAATGACATTTTTGGTCTGAAATAGGGTCAGGATTAACGAGGTAGGATTTAGAGAACCAGGCGGCACACACTCACCAAGAATTCAACATACATTCATACATTTAACATACACACATCCTTTATTTGATAAAGCGGGTTGAATAAATGGCAGCGATTGCTGATGCGGACCTGCTATCTACTTTACACTATAACTGAATTAACATCTAAAAATATATTCTAATATACATAGGCGTACGGGCCGGGGGGGCGAGGGGGGCTGCAGCCCCCCCCAAATTTTGGGCAACTCAGATTTTTTGGGCAGCGAGAGAAAATTTGGGCAAAGCCAGTTTTTAAAGACGTCTCCATGTTTATTTAATTATTTTAAAGACCTGAATATTAACCTGAAGTCAGCGTAATAATCCAGTTACATTACAGTGGTTGCCTAGCATGTGATGACGGTACTTTACATATTTGCAGCATTTTTTTGTTGGGCACTATACTGCACTGCACTAGCTGGAATGGGCTATTTCCAGTCGTGAATTGATTAAAATAAACTTTCGAATAACTTTCTAGAATCATCTCTACTCGAAAAACAAAATATGGCAGATAGCATTTACCAATGGGTATGAAAATGAAGAAGTGGCTGACTAGTCTCAGTTTGAATTACGAGAAGAATTTTAATTCTTTTAAAAAATCTATCGAGAGGTTTAAAAAATTATTCGCTAATTTGTTAAAGTAGACCGAAATGTTTACAAAACCGCTAACAGGAGTGTCTCGATACATACTAATCAAATCCTTCTTTCGATTCTAGCAATCAAGCAGAGCTATCTCCACGATCTTTTACACATGTTTTTAAAAAGATTAAAACTACTATGAGGTGAAATTGCAGGTCTAAAGCGCTTCGTTTTCTACAGATAACAGCCAAAAATCAAGATTTTCCTGTTCTTACCGTATTTCTAATACAGTAAAAACTCGCAACTAAGAACCTACATTTTTAGCAGTTAGCCTAAACGGGTTCTTATATAAATGGTAGTTAACAGAATTTTAGGCTGTTTAGGTTCTTAAAATGGGTTCTTAATCCTGGAGAAAAAACAATGCATAATGGTGTGCTGAGGCTACATATTGCTTAGTATGCTTTGTAAGTCTACATACCTTGCACTCATTTTTCCTTAAAAAACATTTTTACAACAATGGCGATCTGCTTTTTTTGCTTCAAATATGATTCTTGCAATACAGCTGTATTGTACTAGTATGATTTTAGAAATAAGAACCTGTTTTAAATTTCTAAGGCTAAATAGGTTCTTGTTTATAGGGGGTATAAATGACCAATTTTAGGCTAACAGGTTCTTATTTTTTACGTTCTTATTTGCGGGTTTTTACTGTAATAAAAACTTCATTCCAAAATATCTCGATAACGCTCTTAAGGTTTTGCTTAAACTTCACGAACATCGAGGCGACCGTATTGGAGAAAAAAGCTCCTGTGAACGATTTTGTAAGGTTCCCGTGCTGGGAATCATTGCTGACGTAAAATAGGTAATGAGCGGGGGGAGTCATTTCGTTGCTATGACAACTCCGATGTCATTGCAACCCTGGTGATGACAAATTTTCATCTTAATACAACTGTGGTCGCAATTTTTCCAAATTTTTGTTTATGGCGACGTTTGTTTATCGAGCCACCTTCATATTCCAGGAGGGTCTACGTTGTTGCCATATGGCCCTCATTTCTTTACGATTCTTTCGGAAAAATTTGGGCAACTTGCGAGATTTTTTTGGGGCAAATGGTTTACCGCCCCCCCTGGCAAAAAATTTCCCGTACGCCTATGCTAATATAAATAATTATAAATACAAAGTAATACATAAATAAATAGATAAGCTTAAAAATAAATATTGTTGGTTTTCATATGACGTTACTAAAATTCAAACTTCAAAACTATCGATCTTACTGAGATTTTACTTTCATGGTGTATTAGAGCAGCTGAAAACTAATTTTCAAACAAATTTTCGCTTCAAAAGGGTTCTTTGATCTATTTTGAATGGCGTGACACTGAAAACCAGCAATATAAATTGCAATTAAGTTAACTTAGACAATGCAAATGAAAGATAAAAGAGTGACTAATCAAAATGACGAGTAATAAACTAGATATCAATAATATATTAATTCATCACTATTATTATTGGTTGCAGAATTCCCTGGAGTACAGTACAGCGTTCATTTGAAGGACGAAACTTTTCTTAAATTGAGTTTCAACTCTGATTGCTCTTGTCAAGTTGAATGAACCGCCTAACATGCTTCGTTTGAATGCTCACAGCTTAAGATTGTAACAGACACTGAACAGAAGCTATAAAGTAAAATTTTCACCTCATTGACCAGCATTATAGAAGACCGTAGAAAAGTTACTCATTCATAAGTGTCTCTGGGAAAAGGCTTTGTGAACATTTTGATGAAATTACTTCGGTCAGGCCAGAATTGCCCCCAAGTAAAAAAACGTAATAAAAAAAACTGGGTGTTGATGAGACGGTCATGCAAACAGTATTTAAAAAGACGTTATTCTAACTAACAACTTTCAAAATATAAGGTAGCTGATATACCGTACCTTTAGTTACCAGGAACTATTTTCTGGGACTTCCTTAGCCTTTTAACAAACTTACTTCAATAAGCGTGAATCCTTTTATTCCAGTTGAACGTAAGACAAATTATGCGAAAGTTAATTTCCTTTGTGGCTAAATCCAGTTGTGTCAATGCATGAGAAATCATGCGAAAATTAATTTCTTTGTAGCTTCCCA